CACCTCCACTACCACCACCTACTACCCCATACACCACCTCCATCACCACCACCACCTACTACCCCGTACACCACCTCCATCACCACCACCACCTACTACCCCATACACCACCTCCATCACTACCTACACCACCTACTACCCCGTACACCACCTCCATCACCACCACCACCTACTACCCCGTACACCGCCTCCATCACCACCACCACCTACTACCCCGTACACCGCCTCCACCACTACCACCACCTACTACCCCGTACACCACCTCCATCACCACCACCACCTACTACCCCATACACCGCCTCCATCACCACCACCACCTACTACCCCGTACACCGCCTCCATCACCACCACCACCTACTACCCCGTACACCACCTCCACTACCACCACCACCTACTACCCCATACACCGCCTCCATCACCACCACCACCTACTACCCCGTACACCACCTCCACCATCACCACCTACTACCCCGTACACCGCCTCCATCACCACCACCACCTACTACCCCGTACACCACCTCCATCACCACCACCACCTACTACCCCGTACACCGCCTCCACTACCACCACCACCTACTACCCCGTACACCGCCTCCATCACCACCACCACCTACTACCCCGTACACCACCTCCATCACCACCACCACCTACTACCCCGTACACCACCTCCACCACTACCACCACCTACTACCCCGTACACCACCTCCATCACCACCACCACCTACTACCCCATACACCGCCTCCATCACCACCACCACCTACTACCCCGTACACCACCTCCATCACCACCACCACCTACTACCCCATACACCGCCTCCATCACCACCACCACCTACTACCCCGTACACCACCTCCATCACCACCACCACCTACTACCCCATACACCGCCTCCATCACCACCACCACCTACTACCCCATACACCACCTCCATCACCACCACCACCTACTACCCCATACACCGCCTCCATCACCACCACCACCTACTACCCCGTACACTACCACCCCCGACGTAAACTGGGGTGTTGCCGGACTTAGGACTCTTTCACTCACTTTAAAGCTCCGACTTTGTGAGTTGAGCTGCATCAATAACTGGAGATCTGAGACAAAGAGCTTCATAGCTCATCCGATTCCTCTTCCCACTCCCGCCAGTCTAAATACCACAGATTCTGATTCTGTTGCAGAGGTTCGCGGTTTTGAATCCAGCAAACCAGGCCGGCCGGTCCCGGTGAAACGCTGCAGGGGTCGTGTGTGGCGGTACGGGTGGTAAGGTGGTACCGGTGGTACCGGTGGTACGGCTGGTACAGATGGTACGGGTGGTACGGGTGGTACAGGTGGTACAGGTGGTACGGGTCGTGTAGGTGGTACAGGTGGTACAGGTGGTGCGGGTGGTACGGGTGGTGTAGGTGGTACGGGTGGTACGGGTGGTACCGGTGGTACGGGTGGTACAGGTGGTGTAGGTGGTGTAGGTGGTGTAGGTGGTACGGGTGGTGTAGGTGGTACGGGTGGTGTAGGTGGTGTAGGTGGTGTAGGTGGTACAGGTGGTACGGGTGGTAAGGTGGTACGGGTGGTACGGGTGGTACGGGTGGTAAGGTGGTACGGGTGGTAAGGTGGTACGGGTGGTAAGGTGGTACAGGTGGTGTAGGTGGTACAGGTGGTACGGGTGGTACAGGTGGTACCGGTGGTATGGGTGGTAAGGTAGTACGGGTGGTACGGGTGGTACGGGTGGTAGAGGTGGCACGGGTGGTACGGGTGGTACAGGTGGTACGGGTGGTACGGGTGGTGTAGGTGGTACGGGTGGTGTAGGTGGTGTAGGTGGTACGGGTGATACGGGTGGTACGGGTGGTGTAGGTGGTGTAGGTGGTACGGGTGGTGTAGGTGGTACGGGTGGTACGGGTGGTAAGGTGGTACGGGTGGTACAGGTGGTACAGGTGGTACTGGTGGTGTAGGTGGTACGGGTGGTGTAGGTGGTACGGGTGGTGTAGGTGGTGTAGGTGGTGTAGGTGGTACAGGTGGTACGGGTGGTACAGGTGGTACGGGTGGTACGGGTGGTGTAGGTGGTACGGGTGGTACAGGTGGTAAGGTGGTACAGGTGGTGTAGGTGGTACGGGTGGTACGGGTGGTACGGGTGGTGTAGGTATTACAGGTGGTGTAGGTGGTACGGGTGGTACGGGTGGTACGGGTGGTGTAGGTGGTACAGGTGGTACAGGTGGTACGGGTGGTACAGGTGGTACGGGTGGTACGGGTGGTACAGAGCCACAAACGCGGTGACGACTCCACTTGGCTTGGGCCCTGCTGGGTGGCGGAGGGGCTTAAGACACAAACGTGGCCTGGTCATCGTTAACATGGCGGCCTAACCCACGCATTCGATTCAGAATTGTATTCCTGCTAACTACCACCACTACTACTACTAACTACTACTACCACTACTACCACTAACTACTACCATCACTACTACCACTAACTACTAACTACTACCACCACTACTACCACTAACTACTACCACCACTACTACTACCACCACCAGTACTAACTACTACCACTAACTACTAACTACTACTACCACTACTACTACTAACTACTACCACCACTACTACCACTAACTACTACCACCACTACTACTAACTACTACCACCACTACTACCACTAACTACTAACTACTACCACCACTACTACCACTAACTACTACCACCACTACTACCACTAACTACTACCACTACTACTAACTACTACTACCACTAACTACTACTAACTACTACTACTACTACCCCCACTACTACCAGTAACTACTAACTACTACCACTACTACTAACTGCTACCACCACTACTACCACTAACTACTAACTACTACCACTACTACTACTACCACCACTACTACCACTAACTACTACCACCACTACTACCAGAAACTACTACCACCACTACTAGCACTAACTACTACTAACTACCACCACTACTACTAACTACTACCACCACTACTACAAGTAACTACCACCACTACTACCACTAACTACTACTAACTACTACCACCACTACTACTAACTACTACCACCACTACTACCAGTAACTACTACCACCACTACTACCACTAACTACTACTACCACTACTACTACCACCACCCCTACTAACTACTACCATCACCACTACTAACTACTACCACTAACTACTAACTACTACTAACTACTACTACTGCTACTAACTACTACCACCACTACTACTAAGTACTACCACCACTACTACTAAGTACTACCACCACTACTACCACTTACTACTAACTACTACTACCACCACTACTACTAACCACTACTACTAACTACTACTACTACTAACTACTAGCACTATCACCACTACCACCACTACTACTACTACCACCACTACTACCACTTCTACTAACTACTACTACCACCACCACTACTACCACAATCACTACCACTACCACCACTACTAATACTACCACCACTAACTACTACCACCACTACCACTAACTACTACCACCACTACTACTAACTACTACCACCACCACTACTACCACTACTACTAACTACTACCACCACTACTACCACTAACTACTACTAACTACTACTACCACTACTACTACTAACTACCACCACCACCACTACCACCACCACTACTACCACCACTACTACTACCACCACTACTAGCTACTACCACCACTACTACTACTACCACCACTACTACCACCACCACTACTACTACCACCACTACCACTAACTACCACCACCACTACCACCACCACCACTGCTACTACCACTACTACTAGCTACTACCACCACTACTACTACTACCACCACCACTACTAACTACTACCACCACTACTACTAGCTACTACTACCACCACTACCACCACCACCACTACTACTACCACCACTACTACTACCACCACCACTACTACTACCACCACCACCACCACCACTACTACCACCACAACTACTAACTACTACCACCACCACTACCACTAACTACCACCACCACTACCACCACCACTGCTACTACCACTACTACTACTACCACCACCACTACTAACTACTACCACCACTACTACTAGCTACTACTACCACCACTACTACTACTAACTACTACCACCACCACTACCACTAACTACCACCACCACTACCACCACCACCACTACTACCACCACTACTACCACCACTACTAATACTAACTACTACCACCACTACCACTAACTACTACCACCACTACCACCACCAGCACTGCTACTACCGCTGTGTTAACACTGAGATGCCTGCGTGTGTGTAGCGCTTTGCTGCGACTCCCCACGGAGTCTCGGGACTCGTTTGGAGGAGCCTCTCCCTCCTGCCGCTGCTGCCTGGCGCAGTCGAGGCGCTGTGGACCCGACGGAGTGGGGAGCGGTGGCGCAGCGGTCAGCGCCAATCGCCCACTGTCAATGTGCTGTGGTGGGTCAGTGGATGGCTGATGGTGTCTTTGTATCGAGAGCGGTCGAGTAGTGGTTAGTGTGTTGCGCTACAAACCCGGCATACCCCCAAGTTCGATTACTCCTCTTGGCTATCACCAACACCTGGGCTTCTCCTAGGTCGACTCAGCCTAAAATGAGTACCTGGTGCAGTGTGTAAACATCGCTGCTTGGGAGACAAAGGCGGCCGAGCGTGGTGCTGGCCACCCACTCCCTCGTGCGCTACAGTGACGGCCTTTAGAGGCGCTGCTACTCGCTAACAGCACTTGCCCTGGCAGTCTGTTACATGCTACACGGGCGACCTTTGTCTTTGTAATCCCAATTTAGCGATTTGTTTAAACTTATTACTGAATAAGGTTTAAACTTTCTCAACTCTATTTGCGAGTGAGTCTATTTGAAATCGTTTTAAATCGCCACAGTTTAAAATCTCTACAGCCAAGAAGATTTTTTTCGTGAAAAATTCTCGTAAAAACTTTCTACGGCATTTGAAAAACAAAAACGTACTAACCGCGTGTAACATTTGAAAAAAAACCGTGCAATAATACAAAATAAAATTGCGTACGATATTGTTTTTTTTTTAAATGGCTGGAATGTTCTTATCAAGTGTGACAGACACATCGCTTTGACCTCGCCTCTTGATCTTTACAACAACAACAACAAAATCGCTCCGTTTACGTTCGAGTCACCGTCGCAGGGCGAGTCCTCGCTGAGCTCTCTGAAGATCACAGGACGCACTAACGACTCACTAACGCCGCTCTAACGCCGCACTAACGCCGCTCTAACGCCGCACTAACGCCGCTCTAACGCCGCTCGAATAACACTCTGACGCCGCTCGACAACTTGGGAACGCTTTTCGTGATAACGTGGAAGGCGCGCCGTTATAAACGCGTCCACCGTTATAACGGGAAACGTGTTTCACTGTTATAACGGGAAACGTGTTGCACTGTTATAACGGGAAACGTGTTGCACTGTTATAACGGGAAACGTGTTGCACTGTTATAACGGGAAACGTGTTGCACTGTTATAACGGGAAACGTGTCCACCGTTATAACGGGAAACGTGTCCACCGTTATAACGGGAAACGTGTTTCACCGTTATAACGGGAAACGTGTTTCACTGTTATAACGGGAAACGTGTCCACTGTTATAACGGGAAACGTGATTCACTGTTATAACGGGAAACGTGATTCACCGTTATAACGGGAAACGTGATTCACCGTTATAACGGGAAACGCGTCCACCGTTATAACGGGAAACGTGTTTCACCGTTATAACAGGAAACGTGTCTCACCGTTATAACGGGAAACGTGTCCACTGTTATAACGGGAAACGTGATTCACCGTTATAACGGGAAACGTGTCTCACCGTTATAACGGGAAACGTGTCCACTGTTATAACGGGAAAAGTGATTCAACGTTATAACGGGAAACGTGATTCACCGTTATAACGGGAAACGTGTCCACCGTTATAACGGGAAACGTGATTCACTGTTATAACGGGAAACGTGATTCACCGTTATAACGGGAAACGTGTCCACCGTTATAACGGGAAACGTGTCTCACCGTTATAACGGGAAACGTGATTCACCGTTATAACGGGAAACGTGTCTCACCGTTATAACGGGAAACGTGTCCACTGTTATAACGGGAAACGTGTCCACTGTTATAACGGGAAACGTGATTCACCGTTATAACGGGAAACGTGATTCACCGTTATAACGGGAAACGTGATTCACTGTTATAACGGGAAACGTGTCACCGTTATAACGGGAAACGTGTTTCACCGTTATAACGGGAAACGTGTTCACTGTTGTAACGGGAAACGTGATTCACTGTTATAACGGGAAACGTGATTCACCGTTATAACGGGAAACGTGTCCACCGTTATAACGGGAAACGTGTCTCACCGTTATAACGGGAAACGTGATTCACCGTTATAACGGGAAACGTGTCTCACCGTTATAACGGGAAACGTGTCCACTGTTATAACGGGAAACGTGTCCACTGTTATAACGGGAAACGTGATTCACCGTTATAACGGGAAACGTGATTCACCGTTATAACGGGAAACGTGATTCACTGTTATAACGGGAAACGTGTCACCGTTATAACGGGAAACGTGTTTCACCGTTATAACGGGAAACGTGTTCACTGTTGTAACGGGAAAAGTGTTTCACTGTTATAATGGGAAACGTGTTTCACCGTTATAACGGGAAACGTGTCCACTGTTATAATGGGAAACGTGTTTCACTGTTATAATGGGAAACGTGTTTCACTGTTATAATGGGAAACGTGTCCACTGTTATAACGGGAAACGTGTCCACTGTTATAACGGGAAACGTGTCCACCGTTATAACGGAAAACGTGTCCACCGTTATAACGGGAAACGTGTTTCACCGTTAAAACGGGAAACGTGTCCACCGTTATAACATGGAATGGGCGTTGTTAGAACCCGGAGCGTGTCCACCGTTATAACGCGGTTCCTGAGCGGACTACTTTACGAACTAACTTTTCGTGAGCAGTGCAGTGGTACGGTACGCGGAGTGATACGCGAACGCCGTGGTGGCGTTTGTCGATTAACACTCCTCCGATGAGCACGGTTGGCTACGTACGGTACAAAAGAAGTTCAACGTACGTACTCTTAGATTAACATAATAATAATATGTATGATTATTAACTGTGAATAACCCAACCAATAATAGAGATCCGTTGTAATTTATATTAATACATGATCCCACCCCCTCTGGTCTTCGCACGTGATCGTCTCACATGCCATCACAAGTGATGACATCACATCCCGTCACAAGTGATGACATCACATCCCGCCACAAGCGATGACATCACATGTATCCCGTCGCAAGCGATGACATCACATGCATCCCGCCACAAGCGATGACATCACATGCATCCCGTCACAAGCGATGACATCACATGTATCCCATCACAAGCGATGACATCACATGTATCCCATCACAAGCGATGACATCACATGCATCCCGTCACAAGCGATGACATCACATGTATCCCGTCGCAAGCGATGACATCACATGTATCCCGTCGCAAGCGATGACATCACATGTATCCCGTCACAAGCGATGACATCACATGTATCCCGTCACAAGCGGTGACATCACATGTATCCCGTCACAAGCGATGACATCACATGTATCCCGTCACAAGCGATGACATCACATGTATCCCGTCACAAGCGATGACATCACATGTATCCCGTCGCAAGCGATGACATCACATGTATCCCGTCGCAAGCGATGACATCACATGTATCCCGTCACAAGCGATGACATCACATGTATCCCGTCACAAGCGATGACATCACATGTATCCCGTCTATTTTAGACCAAATCAGGAGGAGGATTTCTCCACAACTCCGTGGCTGCCGCCTGATGATGAGGCTGCCGGTTGTTGTTGTAATTACCGGCGAAACGTCACGGCTACTCGAATGTGTAAATGTTGTCGTGGGTTCATTCTCCAACACACAGCGACGGTGACTGCTGAACTAGTAACTAATTGGCACGTGTTTTGCTTACGTGATAAACCCCTGACTAATTGGCCGTGCCGACACAACATTCACATTTAAGCGATCTAGCCCAAAGAAAATGCAACTTCTCAGGGGAGTATCTAGTACCACTCTATGGCGCGCTGAACGAGGACTCGCTGGCGTGCTTGTGGAAGGATGATCACAAGGGAAAGCGGGTTCGGGTTACTATTAAAAAATACAACACAGCGTTAATGGCACGCTTACTCGTTTCGTAGACTATCACGACTCTGTTTAAAAACCACGGCTAATAACCTCGACAACAACGAACATCGGCGCCGCGTCCGTGGGTGCAGTCAAAAAAGCTGAGCGGAGGGATGATGGGATGGCGATGGTGGTACAGCGAGTTGGTGAAGCCTGGGAGAAAGCGAGATAGGGATGCAGACAGGAGAGAGAGAAATGGGGAGAGAGACAGAGAGATGGAGAGAGAGACAGAGAGATGGAGAGAGAGAGACAGAGAGATGGAGAGAGAGAGATGGGGGGAGAGAGACAGAGAAATGGGGAGAGAGACAGAGAGATGGGGAGAGAGAGACAGAGAGATGGGGAGAGAGACAAAGAGATGGAGAGAGAGAGACAGAGAAATGGGGAGAGAGAGACAGAGAGATGGGGAGAGAGACAGAGAGATGGGGAGAGAGAGAGACAGAGAGATGGAGAGAGACAGAGAGATGGAGAGAGAGAGACAGAGAGATGCAGAGAGAGACAGAGAGATGGAGAGAGAGAGAGACAGAGAGATGGAGAGAGAGACAGCGAGATGGGGAGAGAGACAGAGAGATGGAGAGAGAGAGATACAGGAGAGAGATGGAGAGAGAGAGACAGAGAGATGGGGAGAGAGACAGAGAGATGGAGAGAGACAGAGAGATGCAGAGAGAGACAGAGAGATGGAGAGAGAGAGAGAGACAGAGAGATGGAGAGAGAGACAGCGAGATGGGGAGAGAGACAGGAGAGAGATGGGGAGAGAGACAGAGAGATGGAGAGAGAGAGAGAGACAGGAGAGATGGAGAGAGACAGAGAGATGGAGAGAGAGAGACAGAGAGATGGAGAGAGAGACAGGAGAGAGATGGAGAGAGACAGAGAGATGGAGAGAGAGAGAGATGGAGAGAGAGAGACAGAGAGATGGAGAAAGAGAGACAGGAGAGAGATGGAGAGAGAGAGATGGAGAGAGAGACAGGAGAGAGATGGAGAGAGACAGAGAGATGGAGAGAGAGAGAGATGGAGAGAGAGAGACAGAGAGATGGAGAAAGAGAGACAGGAGAGAGATGGAGAGAGAGAGACAGGAGAGAGATGGAGAGAGAGACAGGAGAGAGATGGAGAGAGACAGGAGAGAGATGGGGAGAGAGACAGAGAGATGGAGAGAGAGATGGAGAGAGAGAGACAGAGAGATGGAGAAAGAGAGACAGGAGAGAGATGGAGAGAGAGAGACAGGAGAGAGATGGAGAGAGATGGGGAGAGAGAGACAGGAGAGCGATGGGGAGAGAGAGACAGGAGAGAGATGGAGAGAGACAGGAGAGAGATGGAGAGAGAGAGACAGGAGAGAGATGGAGAGAGAGACAGGAGAGAGATGGAGAGAGACAGGAGAGAGATGGGGAGAGAGACAGGAGAGAGATTGGGAGAGAGACAGGAGAGAGATGGAGAGAGAGAGACAGAGAGATGGAGAGAGAGAAATGGAGAGAGAGAGACAGGAGAGAGATGGAGAGAGAGAGAGACAGGAGAGAGATGGAGAGAGAGAGACAGGAGATGGGGAGAGAGACAGGAGAGAGATGGAGAGAGAGAGACAGGAGAGAGATGGAGAGAGAGAGACAGGAGAGAGATGGGGAGAGAGAGACAGGAGAGAGATGGAGAGAGAGACAGGAGAGAGATGGGGAGAGAGACAGGAGAGAGATGGAGAGAGAGAGAGACAGGAGAGAGATGGGGAGAGAGAGAGACAGGAGAGAGATGGAGAAAGAGAGACAGGAGAGAGATGGAGAGAGAGACAGGAGAGAGATGGAGAGAGACAGGAGAGAGATGGAGAGAGAGAGACAGAGAGATGGAGAGAGATGGAGAGAGAGACAGAGAGATGGAGAGAGATGGGGAGAGAGACAGGAGAGAGATGGAGAGAGAGAGACAGGAGAGAGATGGAGAGAGATAGGAGAGAGATGGAGAGAGAGAGACAGGAGAGAGATGGAGAGAGAGACAGGAGAGAGATGGAGAGAGAGAGACAGGAGAGAGATGGGGAGAGAGAGACAGGAGAGAGATGGGGAGAGAGACAGGAGAGAGATGGAGAGAGACAGGAGAGAGATGGAGAGAGACAGGAGAGAGATGGGGAGAGAGAGAGACAGGAGAGAGATGGAGAGAGACAGGAGAGAGAGGGGGAGAGAGAGAGACAGGAGAGAGATGGAGAGAGAGACAGGAGAGAGATGGAGAGAGAGACAGGAGAGAGACAGGAGAGATGGAGAGAGACAGGAGAGAGACAGGAGAGAGATGGAGAGAGAGAGAGACAGGAGAGAGATGGAGAGAGACAGGAGAGAGATGGAGAGAGAGACAGGAGAGAGATGGAGAGAGAGAGACAGGAGAGAGATGGGTAGAGAGAGACAGGAGAGAGATGGGGAGAGAGACAGGAGAGAGATGGAGAGAGACAGGAGAGAGATGGGGAGAGAGAGAGACAGGAGAGAGATGGAGAGAGACAGGAGAGAGATGGGGAGAGAGAGAGACAGGAGAGAGATGGAGAGAGAGACAGGAGAGAGACAGGAGAGATGGAGAGAGAGACAGGAGAGAGACAGGAGAGAGATGGAGAGAGAGAGAGAGACAGGAGAGAGATGGAGAGAGAGACAGGAGAGAGATGGAGAGAGAAACAGGAGAGACAGGCGAGAGACAGGAGAGAGACGGGGAGCGGAGGGGTCACTGAGCAATGCTGGAGTGAACAGGAAACGTCATTGAGGGTCAGACGGATCAGGGGTTAAAGGTCACCGCTTATTGAGCAACAGCACAGGGGTCACAGCTCACGGGGGGTGGGGGTGGGGGTAGCCAGGATCACAGATCGGGAGAGGCAAGAGGTCACGGACACTGATGGGAGGTTAGAGGTTGGGGGTCAAGATTCAGGGAGTCAGGGGTCAGGGCTGGGTTGAAGGGGTCATGGGTCGCGGTGTCAAACTACCAGGAGGTGCACCCTTCGCAGTCGCACAGGTCACAGGTCACAGGGGTACTCAGGGGTCACAGGGGGCACGGATAGAGCACTAAGGGATATCAGGGGCTCGTGGGTCGGAGGTCGTGGCGAGTGGCTCAGGGGGATCTTGGGGGGGGGGGGGGGGGGGTCTTGTGGAGGTGGGAGGGGGCTCAAGGGGGTTTCAGGGGTCTTGTGGGGAGGTGGCGGCGACCCCCTTCCCGTTGTGGAGATCCCCCAGCTCCGCGTCGCCCCCTCCCAGCGCCCCCTGCTGGGCGCTGCCGCTGCAGGGGGCCGCTGCCCCCGGGGACGAAGCTGAAGCGGCGAAGGTCTTCACGTAGCCCCAGTTGGCCGTCAGCACCATGAGGTAGTGGATCTACTCACGGGGGACGGGGCGGGGGGCGGGGGGCACGGTGGTATCGCATGGGGGGCGTTATTTGGAAGCCACTGGAGTTGTGCACTTTTACAATCACCCTGATTGAGAACACAGCTGTTTAGAACCGCCGCTGCTGCTGGTGGTGGTGCTGGTGGTGGTGGTGGTTGTTGTTGTTGTTGTGGTTAATTTGTTGTCCTTCACCCGCACCTCTGATTCGCTCGCACGGTTGGCTACGCACGTTGCCAAAGAAGTTCAACACACATACAGACTACGATGCACTACACTATACACTACACTATACACTACACTACTATATACTACACTACTATACACTACACTACTATACACTACACTATACACTACTTTATAGTACAATACACTACACTATACTCCACTACTATACACTACTATACACTACACTACTATACACTACACTATACACTACACTATACACTTACGTGTAGAGGTGTTACGTGTGGGGGTGTTACGTGTGGGGGTGTTACGTGTAGGGGTGTTACGTGTGGGGGTGTTACGTGTGGGGGTGTTACGTGTGGGGGTGTTACGTGTAGGGGGTGTTACGTGTAGGGGTGTTACGTGTGGGGGTGTTACGTGTAGGGGTGTTACTTGTAGGGGTGTTACGTGTAGGGGGTGTTACGTGTGGGGGTGTTACGTGTAGGGGTGTTACGTGTGGGGTGTTACGTGTAGGGGTGTTACGTGTAGGGGTGTTACGTGTAGGGGTGTTACGTGTAGGGGTGTTACGTGTAGGGGGTGTTACGTGTAGGGGTGTTACGTGTAGGGGTGTTACGTGTAGGGGTGTTACGTGTGGGGGTGTTACGTGTAGGGGTGTTACGTGTAGGGGGTGTTACGTGTAGGGGTGTTACGTGTGGGGGTGTTACGTGTAGGGGTGTTACGTGTAGGGGGTGTTACGTGTAGGGGTGTTACGTGTAGGGGTGTTACGTGTAGGGGGTGTTACGTGTGGGGGTGTTACGTGTGGGGGTGTTACGTGTGGGGGTGTTACGTGTGGGGGTGTTACGTGTAGGGGTGTTACGTGTAGGGGTGTTACGTGTAGGGGTGTTACGTGTAGGGGTGTTACGTGTAGGGGTGTTACGTGTAGGGGTGTTACGTGTAGGGGTGTTACGTGTAGAGGTGTTACGTGTAGGGGTGTTATGTGTGGGGGTGTTACGTGTGGGGGTGTTACGTGTGGGGGGTGTTACGTGTAGGGGTGTTACGTGTAGGGGGTGTTACGTGTAGGGGTGTTACGTGTAGGGGTGTTCCGTGTGGGGATGTTACGTGTAGAGGTGTTAGGTGTAGGGGTGTTACGTGTAGGGGTGTTACGTGTAGGGGTGTTACGTGTAGGGGTGTTACGTGTAGGGGTGTTACGTGTGGGGGTGTTACGTGTAGGGGTGTTACGTGTGGGGGTGTTACGTGTAGGGGTGTTACGTGTGGGGGTGTTACGTGTGGGGGTGTTACGTGTGGGGGTGTTACGTGTGGGGGTGTTACGTGTGGGGGTGTTACGTGTGGGGGGTGTTACGTGTAGGGGTGTTACGTGTAGGGGTGTTACGTGTAGGGGTGTTACGTGTAGGGGTGTTACGTGTGGGGGTGTTACGTGTAGGGGTGTTACGTGTGGGGGTGTTACGTGTAGGGGTGTTACGTGTAGGGGTGTTACGTGTGGGGGTGTTACGTGTAGGGGTGTTACGTGTAGGGGTGTTACGTGTGGGGATGTTACGTGTAGAGGTGTTAGGTGTAGGGGTGTTACGTGTAGGGGTGTTACGTGTAGGGGTGTTACGTGTAGGGGTGTTACGTGTGGGGGTGTTACGTGTGGGGGTGTTACGTGTAGGGGGTGTTACGTGTGGGGGTGTTACGTGTGGGGGTGTTACGTGTAGGGGTGTTACGTGTGGGGGTGTTACGTGTGGGGGTGTTACGTGTGGGGGTGTTACGTGTGGGGGTGTTACGTGTAGGGGGTGTTACGTGTAGGGGTGTTACGTGTGGGGGTGTTACGTGTGGGGGTGTCACGTGTAGGGGTGTTACGTGTAGAGGTGTTACGTATGGGGTGTTACGTGTAGGGGGTGTTACGTGTAGGGGTGTTACGTGTAGGGGTGTTACGTGTAGGGGGTGTTACGTGTAGGGGTGTTACGTGTAGGGGTGTTACGTGTGGGGGTGTTACGTGTTGGGGTGTTACGTGTGGGGGTGTTACGTGTAGGGGTGTTACGTGTGGGGGTGTTCCGTGTGGGGGTGTTACGTGTGGGGGTGTTACGTGTGGGGGTGTTACGTGTAGGGGGTGTTACGTGTAGGGGTGTTACGTGTAGGGGTGTTACGTGTGGGGGTGTCACGTGTAGGGGTGTTACGTGTAGAGGTGTTACGTATGGGGTGTTACGTGTAGGGGGTGTTACGTGTAGGGGTGTTACGTGTAGGGGTGTTACGTGTAGGGGGTGTTACGTGTAGGGGTGTTACGTGTAGGGGTGTTACGTGTGGGGGTGTTACGTGTAGGGGTGTTACGTGTGGGGGTGTTACGTGTGGGGGTGTTACGTGTGGGGGTGTTACGTGTAGGGGTGTTACGTGTAGGGGTGTTACGTGTAGGGGTGTTACGTGTGGGGGTGTTACGTGTAGGGGTGTTACGTGTGGGGGTGTTACGTGTGGGGGTGTTACGTGTAGGGGTGTTACGTGTAGGGGTGTTACGTGTGGGGGTGTTACGTGTAGGGGTGTTACGTGTAGGGGTGTTAGGTGAAGGGGTGTTACGTGTGGGGGTGTTACGTGTAGGGGTGTTACGTGTAGGGGTGTTACGTGTAGGGGGTGTCACGTGTAGGGGTGTTACGTGTAGGGGTGTTAGGTGAAGGGGTGTTACGTGTGGGGGTGTTACGTGTGGGGGTGTTACGTGTAGGGGTGTTACGTGTAGGGGTGTTACGTGTGGGGGAGAGCGAGCTGTGGAGAGTGGGTGTCTAACTTCTCGCTGTTTGGACATCTTCACACCTCCTGTGATGTTTGCCGGAAAGGGGTCCCTTAGAATGAACTGCTCCACCCGAGATATTGATACCTTTGGTATTGATATTGATACCTTTGGTATTGATATTGATACCTTTGGTATTGATACCTTTGGTATTGATATTGATACCTTGGGTATTGATATTGATACCTTGGGTATTGATACCTTTGGTATTGATATTGATACCTTTGGTATTGATACCTTTGGCATTGATATTGATACCTTGGGTATTGATATTGATACCTTGGGTATTGATACCTTTGGTATTGATATTGATACCTTGGGTATTGATATTGATACCTTGGGTATTGATATTGATACCTTGGGTATTGATATTGATACCTTGGGTATTGATATTGATACCTTGGATATTGATATTGATACCTTGGATATTGATACCTATGGTATTGATATTGATACCTTGGATATTGATATTGATACCTTGGGTATTGATATTGATACCTTGGGTATTGATACCTTGGGTATTGATATTGATACCTTGGGTATTGATACCTTGGGTATTGACATTGATACCTTGGGTATTGATATTGATACCTTGGGTATTGATACCTTGGGTATTGATATTGATACCTTGGGTATTGATATTGATACCTTGGGTATTGATATCTTGGGTATTGATATTGATACCTTGGGTATTGATACCTTGGGTATTGACATTGATACCTTGGGTATTGATATTGATACCTTGGATATTGATATTGATACCTTGGGTATTGGTATTGATATTGATATTGTACGTGTACTGCCTCTTGGCGTTGTTCTCCAGCCTCGTGCTGGTGCAGCGACTCGGCCGTAGTGGAGGCTGCAGCTCCGGTGTAGGCCAATCAGTTCCAAGGACAATGCCAAGCATCGTTGTCAACCTGTGTGCGTTTGCATTGCCCTGGTCCTGTTCGCGTTTTGCCGTTGTTCTACGGTCTAGCGCTGACAGTCTGGAGGACCATCCCCAGCGTAGCGTGGGGTTAGGGGCGAGTGCCAGGGTTAGGTTTGTGTTCGGTTAGGATTAGGTTATGGTTCGTGTTAGGTTAGTGTTAGATTGGTGTTAGGTTGGGGTTAGGTTAGTGAAAGATTGGTGTTAGGTTGGGGTTAGGTTGGGGTTAGGTTAGTGTTAGGTTAGTGTTAGGTTGGGGTTAGGTTAGTGAAAGATTGGTGTTAGGTTAGTGTTAGGTTGGGGTTAGGTTGTGGTTAGGTTAGTGAAAGATTGGTGTTAGGTTGGGGTTAGGTTAGTGAAAGATTGGTGTTAGGTTGGGGTTAGGTTAGTGTTAGATTGGTGTTAGGTTGGGGTTAGGTTAGTGTTAGGCTAGTGTTAGGTTGGGGTTAGGTTAGTGTTAGGTTAGTGTTAGGTTGGGGTTAGGTTAGTGAAAGATTGGTGTTAGGTTAGTGTTAGGTTGGGGTTAGGTTGTGGTTAGGTTAGTGAAAAATTGGTGTTAGGTTGGGGTTAGGTTAGTGAAAGATTGGTGTTAGGTTGGGGTTAGGTTAGTGTTAGATTGGTGTTAGGTTGGGGTTAGGTTAGTTAAAGATTGGTGTTAGGTTGGGGTTAGGTTAGTGTTAGATTGGTGTTTGGTTGGGGTTAGGTTAGTGTTAGGTTGGGGTTAGGTTGGGGTTAGGTTAGTGTTAGATTGGTGTTAGGTTGGGGTTAGGTTAGTGAAAGATTGGTGTTAGGTTGGGGTTAGGTTAGTGTTAGATTGGTGTTAGGTTCGTGTTAGGTTAGTGTTAGATTGGTGTTAGGTTGGGGTTAGGTTAGTGAAAGATTGGTGTTAGGTTGGGGTTAGGTTAGTGTTAGATTGGTGTTAGGTTCGTGTTAGGTTAGTGTTAGATTGGTGTTAGGTTAGTGTTAGATTGGTGTTAGGTTAGGGTTAGGTTAGTGAAAGATTGGTGTTAGGTTAAGTTAGTGTTAGGTTAGTGTTAGATTGGTGTTAGGTTGGGCTTAGGGTTAGTGTAAGATTAGTGTTAAACTAAACTAAACTATTTTTTTTATTTGTTTAAGGCTCACTGAGCTACGTCATAGCCAGGGGGTCGCTTCGAGAAGGGACCCCCTGGGTATGACAAATGACAGCTCAGCGAAGTGGATTACCGTCACGTGGGAACTTATAGCAGCAGCCAAATCCTCTAAACGCCCGTTTCTAAATGTGGAGGGAAGCAACGGGGTGCACCCGGAGAGAAATCCACGCTGAGCAGAGGGTCTGGACACTCACCATGGCGATGACGGTCGCCCCGGCACCAGCGTAGGCAACGATGAAGAGGTGGTGAGCGAGGATGAACTGAGACGATAAATGCACAGACACACAGAGACAACGTTTCTCTCGCGTCGTCTCTGACAGACTGCTGAGGCGAGTGCTCTTAGTAGCGAGTAGCAGCAGCGCCTATGAAGGCCGGCACCGTGGCACGCGCAGTGGGTGGGATGTCCAGCACCACGCCCTGACGCTTTTGTCTCCGGCAATGTTCACGACATCCGTGCCAGGTATTCATTATGAGGCTGAGTCGACCTAGGGCAGGTCCAGGACAGGTTACGATCATCGCTGTCACTGCTGTTGGTGTTGGAATCGAATTGTGCGAGCGTGTGTCTGTGTGCGAGCGTGTGTCTGTGTGCCGGCGTGTGTCTTAGTGCCAGCGTGTGTCTGCGTGCCAGCGTGTGTCTGTGTGCTAGCGTGTCTGTGTGCTAGCGTGTGTCTGTGTGCCGGCGTGTGTCTGCGTGCCGGCGTGTGTCTGTGTGCTAGCGTGTGTCTGTGTGCTAGCGTGTGTCTGTGTGCTAGCGTGTGTCTGTGTGCTAGCGTGTGTCTGTGTGCTAGTGTGTGTCTGTGTGCTAGCATGTGTCTGTGTGCTAGCGTGCGTCTGTGTGCGAGCGTGTGTCTGTGTGCCAGCGTGTGTCTGTGTGCCAGCGTGTGTCTGTGTGCTAGCGTGTGTCTGTGTGCTAGTTTGTGTCTGTGTGCCGGCGTGTGTCTTAGTGCCAGCGTGTGTCTGTGTGCTAGCGTGTGTCTGTGTGCCAGCGTGTGTCTGTGTGCTAGCGTGTGTCTGTGTGCTAGCGTGTGTCTGTGTACCAGCGTGTGTCTGTGTGCTAGCGTGTGTCTGTGTACCGGCGTGTGTCTGTGTGCTAGCGTGTGTCTGTGTGCTAGCGTGTGTCTGTGTGCTAGCGTGTGTCTGTGTACCAGCGTGTGTCTGTGTGCTAGCGTGTGTCTGTGTGCCAGAGTGTGTCTGTGTGCTAGCGTGTGTCTGTGTGCTAGCGTGTGTCTGTGTGCTAGCGTGTGTCTGTGTGCTAGCGTGTGTCTGTGTGCTATGTGTCTGTGTGCTAGCGTGTGTCTGTGTGCCAGCGTGTGTCTGTGTGCTAGCGTGCGTCTGTGTGCTAGCGTGTGTCTGTGTGCCAGCATGTGTCTGTGTGCTAGCATGTGTCTGTGTGCTAGCGTGTGTCTGTGTGCTAGCGTGTGTCTGTGTGCCAGCGTGTGTCTGTGTGCCGGCGTGTGTCTTAGTGCCAGCGTGTGTCTGTGTGCCAGCATGTGTCTGTGTGCCGGCGTGTGTCTTAGTGCCAGCGTGTGTCTGTGTGCTAGCGTGTGTCTGTGTGCCAGCGTGTGTCTGTGTGCCGGCGTGTGTCTGTGTGCCGGCGTGTGTCTTAGTGCCAGGGTGTGTCGGTGTGCCAGCGTGTGTCTGTGTGCCGGCGTGTGTCTTAGTGCCAGCGTGTGTCTGTGTGCTAGCGTGTGTCTGTGTGCCAGCGTGTCTTAGTGCTAGCGTGTGTCTGTGTGCCAGCGTGTGTCTGTGTGCTAGCGTGTGTCTTAGTGCTAGCGTGTGTCTGTGTGCCAGCGTGTGTCTGTGTACCAGCGTGTGTCTGTGTGGTAGCGTGTGTCTTAGTGCCAGCGTGTGTCTGTGTGCTAGTGTGTGTCTGTGTGCTAGCGTGTGTCTGTGTGTTAGCGTGTGTCTGTGTGCTAGCGTGTGTCTGTGTGCCAGCGTGTGTCTGTGTGCCAGCGTGTGTCTGTGTGCTAGCGTGTGTCTGTGTGCTAGCGTGTGTCTTAGTGCTAGCGTGTGTCTGTATGCCAGCGTGTGTCTGTGTGCTAGTGTGTGTCTGTGTGCTAGCGTGTGTCTGTGTGCCATCGTGTGTCTGTGTGCCAGCGTGTGTCTGTGTGCTAGCGTGAGTATGTGTGCCATCGTGTGTCTGTGTGCCATCGTGTGTTTGTGTGCCAGCGTGTGTCTGTGTGCCATCATGTGTCTGTGTGCCAGCGTGTGTCTGTGTGCTAGCGTGTGTCTGTGTGCGAGCGTGTGTCTGTGTGCTAGCGTGTGTCTGTGTGCTAGCGTGAGTATGTGTGCCATCGTGTGTCTGTGTGCCATCGTGTGTTTGTGTGCTAGTGTGTGTCTGTGTGCTAGCGTGTGTCTGTGTGCTAGCATGTGTCTGTGTGCTAGCGTGTGTCTGTGTGCTAGCAGGTGTCTGTGTGCTATGTGTCTGTGTGTTAGCGTGTGTCTGTGTGCCAGCGTGTGTCTGTGTGCCAGCGTGTGTCTGTGTGCTAGCGTGTGTCTGTGTGCGATAGTGTAGCGGTTAGCGCGCTGCGCTATGAACCTGGCGACCCGGGTTCGATTCCCGCTCACGGCCAACACCAGTGACGATTATCTGAACCGGTCCCGGGCCTCCCCTAGGTCGACTCAGCCTCAAATGAGTACCTGGTGCGGTGTGTAAACATTGCCACTGGGGAGACAAAGGCGGTCGGGCGTGGTGCTGGCCACCCACCCCCTCGTGTACCGTTCCGGCCTTCATAGGTGCTCGCTAACAGCACTTGCCCCTACAGTCTGTTAAGGCTATATGGGAGATCTTTGTCTTTGTTTGTCTGTGTGCTAGTGTGTGTCTGTGTGCTAGCGTGTGTCTGTGTGCTAGCATGTGTCTGTGTGCTAGCGTGTGTCTGTGTGCTAGCATGTGTCTGTGTGCTAGCATGTGTCTGTGTGCCGGCGTGTGTCTGTGTGCTAGAGTGTGTCTGTGTGATAGCGTGTGTCTGTGTGCCGGCGTGTGTCTGTGTGCTAGCGTGTGTCTGTGTGCTAGCGTGTGTCTGTGTGCTAGCGTGTGTCTGTGTACCAGCGTGTGTCTGTGTGCTAGCGTGTGTCTGTGTGCCAGAGTGTGTCTGTGTGCTAGTGTGTGTCTGTGTGCTAGCGTGTGTCTGTGTGCTAGAGTGTGTCTGTGTGATAGCGTGTGTCTGTGTGCCGGCGTGTGTCTGTGTGCTAGCGTGTGTCTGTGTGCTAGCGTGTGTCTGTGTGCTAGCGTGTGTCTGTGTACCAGCGTGTGTCTGTGTGCTAGCGTGTGTCTGTGTGCCAGAGTGTGTCTGTGTGCTAGTGTGTGTCTGTGTGCTAGCGTGTGTCTGTGTGCTAGCGTGTGTCTGTGTGCTAGCGTGTGTCTGTGTGCTATGTGTCTGTGTGCTAGCGTGTGTCTGTGTGCCAGCGTGTGTCTGTGTGCTAGCGTGCGTCTGTGTGCTAGCGTGTGTCTGTGTGCCAGCATGTGTCTGTGTGCTAGCATGTGTCTGTGTGCTAGCGTGTGTCTGTGTGCTAGCGTGTGTCTGTGTGCCAGCGTGTGTCTGTGTGCCGGCGTGTGTCTTAGTGCCAGCGTGTGTCTGTGTGCCAGCATGTGTCTGTGTGCCGGCGTGTGTCTTAGTGCCAGCGTGTGTCTGTGTGCTAGCGTGTGTCTGTGTGCCAGCGTGTGTCTGTGTGCCGGCGTGTGTCTGTGTGCCGGCGTGTGTCTTAGTGCCAGCGTGTGTCGGTGTGCCAGCGTGTGTCTGTGTGCCGGCGTGTGTCTTAGTGCCAGCGTGTGTCTGTGTGCTAGCGTGTGTCTGTGTGCCAGCGTGTCTTAGTGCTAGCGTGTGTCTGTGTGCCAGCGTGTGTCTGTGTGCTAGCGTGTGTCTTAGTGCTAGCGTGTGTCTGTGTGCCAGCGTGTGTCTGTGTGCCAGCGTGTGTCTGTGTGGTAGCGTGTGTCTTAGTGCCAACGTGTGTCTGTGTGCTAGTGTGTGTCTGTGTGCTAGCGTGTGTCTGTGTGTTAGCGTGTGTCTGTGTGCTAGCGTGTGTCTGTGTGCTAGCGTGTGTCTTAGTGCTAGTGTGTCTGTGTGCCAGCGTGTGTCTGTGTGCCAGCGTGTGTCTGTGTGCTAGCGTGTGTCTGTGTGCTAGCGTGTGTCTTAGTGCTAGCGTGTGTCTGTATGCCAGCGTGTGTCTGTGTGCTAGTGTGTGTCTGTGTGCTAGCGTGTGTCTGTGTGCCATCGTGTGTCTGTGTGCCAGCGTGTGTCTGTGTGCTAGCGTGAGTATGTGTGCCATCGTGTGTCTGTGTGCCATCGTGTGTTTGTGTGCCAGCGTGTGTCTGTGTGCCATCATGTGTCTGTGTGCCAGCGTGTGTCTGTGTGCTAGCGTGTGTCTGTGTGCGAGCGTGTGTCTGTGTGCTAGCGTGTGTCTGTGTGCTAGCGTGAGTATGTGTGCCATCGTGTGTCTGTGTGCCATCGTGTGTTTGTGTGCTCGTGTGTGTCTGTGTGCAAGCGTGTGTCTGTGTGCTAGCATGTGTCTGTGTGCTAGCGTGTGTCTGTGTGCTAGCATGTGTCTGTGTGCTATGTGTCTGTGTGTTAGCGTGTGTCTGTGTGCCAGCGTGTGTCTGTGTGCCAGCGTGTGTCTGTGTGCTAGCGTGTGTCTGTGTGCGATAGTGTAGCGGTTAGCGCGCTGCGCTATGAACCTGGCGACCCGGGTTCGATTCCCGCTCACGGCCAACACCAGTGACGATTATCTGAACCGGTCCCGGGCCTCCCCTAGGTCGACTCAGCCTCAAATGAGTACCTGGTGCGGTGTGTAAACATTGCCACTGGGGAGACAAAGGCGGTCGGGCGTGGTGCTGGCCACCCACCCCCTCGTGTACCGTTCCGGCCTTCATAGGTGCTCGCTAACAGCACTTGCCCCTACAGTCTGTTAAGGCTACATGGGGGATCTTTGTCTTTGTTTGTCTGTGTGCTAGTGTGTGTCTGTGTGCTAGCGTGTGTCTGTGTGCTAGCATGTGTCTGTGTGCTAGCGTGTGTCTGTGTGCTAGCATGTGTCTGTGTGCTAGCATGTGTCTGTGTGCCGGCGTGTGTCTGTGTGCTAGAGTGTGTCTGTGTGATAGCGTGTGTCTGTGTGCCGGCGTGTGTCTGTGTGCTAGCGTGTGTCTGTGTGCTAGTGTGTGTCTGTGTGCTAGCGTGTGTCTGTGTGCTAGTGTGTGTCTGTGTGCTAGCGTGTGTCTGTGTGCTAGCGTGTGTATGTGTGCTAGCGTGTGTCTGTGTGCTAACGTGCGTCTGTGTGCCAGCGTGTGTCTGTGTGCTAGTTTGTGTCTGTGTGCTCATGTGTGTCTGTGTGCCAGCGTGTGTCTTAGTGCCAGCGTGTGTCTGTGTGCTAGCGTGTGTCTGTGTGCTAGCGTGTCTGTGTGCTAGCGTGAGTCTGTATGCCAGCGTGTGTCTGTGTGCTAGCGTGTGTCTGTGTGCTAGCGTGTGTCTGTGTGCCAGCGTGTGTCTGTGTGCCGGCGTGTGTCTGTGTGCCAGCGTGTGTCTGTGTGCCAGCGTGTGTCTGTGTGCTATGTGTCTGTGTGCTAGCGTGTGTCTGTGTGCCGGCGTGTGTCTGCGTGCCAGCGTGTGTCTGTGTGCTAGCGTGTGTCTGTGTGCCAGCGTGTGTCTTAGTGCTAGCATGTGTCTGTGTGCCAGCGTGTGTCTGTGTGCTAGCGTGTGTCTTAGTGCCAGCGTGCGTCTGTGTGCCAGTGTGTGTCTGTGTGCTAGCGTGTGTCTGTGTGCCGGCGTGTGTCTTAGTGACAGCGTGTGTCTGTGTGCTAGCGTGTGTCTGTGTGCCGGCGTGTGTCTTAGTGCCAGCGTGTGTCTGTGTGCTAGCGTGTGTCTGTGTGCCAGCGTGTCTTAGTGCTAGCGTGTGTCTGTGTGCCAGCGTGTGTCTGTGTGCTAGCGTGTGTCTTAGTGCTAGCGTGTGTCTGTGTGCCAGCGTGTGTCTGTGTACCAGCGTGTGTCTGTGTGGTAGCGTGTGTCTTAGTGCCAACGTGTGTCTGTGTGCTAGTGTGTGTCTGTGTGCTAGCGTGTGTCTGTGTGTTAGCGTGTGTCTGTGTGCTAGCGTGTGTCTGTGTGCTAGCGTGTGTCTTAGTGCTAGCGTGTGTCTGTGTGCCAGCGTGTGTCTGTGTGCTAGTGTGTGTCTGTGTGCTAGCGTGTGTCTGTGTGCCATCGTGTGTCTGTGTGCCAGCGTGTGTCTGTGTGCTAGCGTGAGTATGTGTGCCATCGTGTGTCTGTGTGCCATCGTGTGTGTGTGTGCCAGCGTGTGTCTGTGTGCTATCATGTGTCTGTGTGCCAGCGTGTGTCTGTGTGCTAGCGTGTGTCTGTGTGCGAGCGTGTGTCTGTGTGCTAGCGTGTGTCTGTGTGCTAGCGTGAGTATGTGTGCCATCGTGTGTCTGTGTGCCATCGTGTGTTTGTGTGCTAGTGTGTGTCTGTGTGCTAGCGTGTGTCTGTGTGCTAGCATGTGTCTGTGTGCTAGCGTGTGTCTGTGTGCTATCATGTGTCTGTGTGCTATGTGTCTGTGTGTTAGCGTGTGTCTGTGTGCCAGCGTGTGTCTGTGTGCCAGCGTGTGTCTGTGTGCTAGCGTGTGTCTGTGTGCGATAGTGTAGCGGTTAGCGCGCTGCGCTATGAACCTGGCGACCCGGGTTCGATTCCCGCTCACGGCCAACACCAGTGACGATTATCTGAACCGGTCCCGGGCCTCCCCTAGGTCGACTCAGCCTCAAATGAGTACCTGGTGCGGTGTGTAAACATTGCCACTGGGGAGACAAAGGCGGTCGGGCGTGGTGCTGGCCACCCACCCCCTCGTGTACCGTTCCGGCCTTCATAGGTGCTCGCTAACAGCACTTGCCCCTACAGTCTGTTAAGGCTATATGGGGGATCTTTGTCTTTGTTTGTCTGTGTGCTAGTGTGTGTCTGTGTGCTAGCGTGTGTCTGTGTGCTAGCATGTGTCTGTGTGCTAGCGTGTGTCTGTGTGCTAGCATGTGTCTGTGTGCTAGCATGTGTCTGTGTGCCGGCGTGTGTCTGTGTGCTAGAGTGTGTCTGTGTGATAGCGTGTGTCTGTGTGCCGGCGTGTGTCTGTGTGCTAGCGTGTGTCTGTGTGCTAGTGTGTGTCTGTGTGCTAGCGTGTGTCTGTGTGCTAGTGTGTGTCTGTGTGCTAGCGTGTGTCTGTGTGCTAGCGTGTGTATGTGTGCTAGCGTGTGTCTGTGTGCTAACGTGCGTCTGTGTGCCAGCGTGTGTCTGTGTGCTAGTTTGTGTCTGTGTGCTCATGTGTGTCTGTGTGCCAGCGTGTGTCTTAGTGCCAGCGTGTGTCTGTGTGCTAGCGTGTGTCTGTGTGCTAGCGTGTCTGTGTGCTAGCGTGAGTCTGTGTGCCAGCGTGTGTCTGTGTGCTAGCGTGTGTCTGTGTGCTAGCGTGTGTCTGTGTGCCAGCGTGTGTCTGTGTGCCGGCGTGTGTCTGTGTGCCAGCGTGTGTCTGTGTGCCAGCGTGTGTCTGTGTGCTATGTGTCTGTGTGCTAGCGTGTGTCTGTGTGCCGGCGTGTGTCTGCGTGCCAGCGTGTGTCTGTGTGCTAGCGTGTGTCTGTGTGCCAGCGTGTGTCTTAGTGCTAGCATGTGTCTGTGTGCCAGCGTGTGTCTGTGTGCTAGCGTGTGTCTTAGTGCCAGCGTGCGTCTGTGTGCCAGTGTGTGTCTGTGTGCTAGCGTGTGTCTGTGTGCCGGCGTGTGTCTTAGTGACAGCGTGTGTCTGTGTGCTAGCGTGTGTCTGTGTGCCGGCGTGTATCTGCATGTTCGTGCGTGCTATCACCTCCTGCGTGTTACACATATTTTCCAGGGCTCGGTCGCACAGAAGGGCCGTCGAGTGATTCCACGGCAGGATTCCTACAAGACGACACCTCATCACCGTTAACGCAACGCGGCAGCGTGTCCATGGAATTACGTTGAAGGTGCCGATGATGTTGATGATGATGTTGATGATGATGTTGATGATGATGTTGATGATGATGTTGATGATGATGTTGATGATGATGTTCATTGCCCAGTCCCTTCCTCTTCCCGCCCCTTGCCCCTCCACTCCATCTCCCCCCCCCCATAGCCCCTCCATGACTACCACGTGCCCTCTGTTACGGTCACTCATTCCTTAACCCGTGCACTACCTGTAGACTCAACACTGCCCATAGACTCAACACTGCTCATAGACTCAACACTGCTCATAGACTCAACACTGCCCATAGACTCAATACTGCCCATAGACTCAACACTGCTCATAGACTCAACACTGCCCATAGACTCAACACTACACCATAGACTCAACACTGCACCATAGACTCAACACTGCCCATAGACTCAACACTGCACCATAGACTCAACACTGCCCATAGACTCAACACTGCACCATAGACTCAACACTGCCCATAGACTGAACACTGCCCATAGACTCAACACTGCACCATAGACTCAACACTGCACCATAGACTCAACACTGCCCATAGATTCAACACTGCCAATAGACTCAACACTGCCCATAGACTCAACACTGCCCATAGACTCAACACTGCACCATAGACTCAACACTGCCTATAGACTCAACACTGCCCATAGACTCACAATGACCATAGACTCAACACTGCCCATAGACTCACAATGACCATAGACTCAACACTGCCCATAGACTCAACACTGCACCATAGACTCAACACTGCCCATAGACTCAACACTGCACCATAGACTAACACTGCCCGTAGACTCAACACTGCCCATAGACTCAACACTGCCCATAGACTCAACACTACACCATAGACTCAACACTGCCCATAGACTCAACACTGCACCATAGACTCAACACTGCCCATAGACTCAACATTGCACCATAGACTTAACACTGCCCATAGACTCAACACTGCACCATAGACTCAACACTGCCAATAGACTCAACACTGCCCATAGACTCAACACTGCACCATAGACTCAACACTTCCCATAGACTCAACACTACACCATAGACTCAACACTGCCCATAGACTCAACACTACCCATAGACTCAACACTGCATCATAGACTCAACACTGCATCATAGACTCAACACTGCACCATAGACTCAACACTGCACCATAGATTCAACACTGTCCGTAGACTCAACATTGTCCATAGACTCAACACTGCACCATAGACTCAACACTACCCATAGACTCAACACTACCCATAGACTCAACACTGTCCCTGTACATTAAGCTGCTACCGAGCGTGTCCGCAGGTGGCGGATAGTGGAAAGACTTCCGTGAAGGTTCGCTGCGAGATAAGCGGACGGGCAACCCGGAGGAATAAGCAGCCGTGGACCAAACAGCGACAGCAGCACCAGGACGTGGCCAGGGCTGCGACGCTTTCCTCTTGAAAAGCCACAAATACCCTTTGACGATGATGTGGCATGGCGAGTATAGGCCGCCATTATTATACGCCTACCTGCACACAGCCATGGGTTCACAAATCCTCGACGGCAAAGCAGGCGGAAGAAGATTTTAAGATCTCAACGGCTGTGAAGGTGGACGAAGGCTGCACTAGAACGATATCTCCAATCGTCTTGGTCTCCTTGCCATTGGGTTCATGGTCCCGTTCTGTCAAGAAGCTGCTGTGTGGAAGCTGCTGTACAACAGCGACTCCACAGGAATCACACACAGACATCTGCTGTGTAACAGCGACTCCACAGGAATCACGCACAGACATCTGCTGTGTAACAGCGATTCCACAGGAATCACACACAGACATCTGCTGTGTAACAGCGACTCCACAGGAATCACACACAGACATCTGCTGTGTAACAGTGACTCCACAGGAATCACACACAGACATCTGCTGTGTAACAGCGACTCCACAGGAATCACACACAGACATCTGCTGTACAACAGTGACTCCACAGGAATCACACACAGACATCTGCTGTGTAATAGTGACTCCACAGGAATCACACACAGACATCTGCTGTGCAACAGCGACTCCACAGGAATCACACACAGACATCTGCTGTGTAACAGTGACTCCACAAGAATCATGCACAGACATCTGCTGTGTAACAACGACTCCACAGGAATCACACACAGACATCTGCTGTGTAACAGCGACTCCACAGGAATCACACACAGACATCTGCTGTGTAACAGTGACTCCACAGGAATCACACACAGACATCTGCTGTGTAACAGTGACTCCACAGGAATCACACACAGACATCTGCTGTGTAACAGCGACTCCACAGGAATCACACACAGACATCTGTTGTGTAACAGTGACTCCACAGGAATCACACACAGACATCTGCTGTGTAACAGCGACTCTACAGGAATCACACACAGACATCTGCTGTGTAACAGCGACTCCACAGGAATCACACATAGACATCTGCTGTGTAACAGTGACTCCACAGGAATCACACACAGACATCTGCTGTGTAACAGTGACTCCACAGGAATCACACACAGACATCTGCTGTGTAACAGCGACTCCACAGGAATCACACACAGACATCTGCTGTGTAACAGTGACTCCACAGGAATCACACACAGACATCTGCTGTGTAACAGTGACTCCACAGGAATCACACACAGACATCTGCTGTGTAACAGTGACTCCACAGGAATCACACACAGACATCTGCTGTGTAACAGCGACTCCACAGGAATCACGCACAGACATCTGCTGTGTAACAGCGACTCCACAGGAATCACACATAGACATCTGCTGTGTAACAGTGACTCCACAGGAATCACACACAGACATCTGCTGTGTAACAGCGACTCCACAGGAATCACACACAGACATCTGCTGTGTAACAGCGACTCCACAGGAATCACGCACAGACATCTGCTGTGTAACAGCGACTCCACAGGAATCACACACAGACATCTGCTGTGTAACAGCGACTCCACAGGAATCACACACAGACATCTGCTGTGTAACAGTGACTCCACAAGAATCATGCACAGACATCTGCTGTGTAACAACGACTCCACAGGAATCACGCACAGACATCTGCTGTGTAACAGCGACTCCACAGGAATCATGCACAGACATCTGCTGTGTAACAGCGACTCCACAGGAATCACACACAGACATCTGCTGTGTAACAGCGACTCCACAGGAATCATGCACAGACATCTGCTGTGTAACAGTGACTCCACAGGAATCACACATAGACATCTGCTGTGTAACAGCGACTCCACAGGAATCACACACAGACATCTGCTGTGTAACAGCGACTCCACAGGAATCACACACAGACATCTGCTGTGTAACAGCGACTCCACAGGAATCATGCACAGACATCTGCTGTGTAACAGCGACTCCACAGGAATCACACACAGACATCTGCTTTGGCAGAATCTGTCAATCCCAGATCGGTCTCTTCAGCCATCTTCGGACCCACAGATAATCCAACTTTTCGATGGAAGACGAGCATCCTCGATTGTGATGGATAGCCGATGATAATGATGATGATGGGTGGAGGCGGTGGTAGTGGTAGTGGTAGTGGCGGTGGTGGAGGTGGTGTTGATGGTGGTGGAGGAGGTGGTGGTGGTGGTGGCAGAAGTAGAAGCGGTGGTGGGGGTAGAGGGGGTGGTGGTGGTAGTGGCGGTGGTGGTGTTGATGGTGGTGGAGGTGGTGGAGGTGGTGGCAGAAGTAGAGGCGGTGGTGGGGGTAGAGGGGGTGGCGGTGGTGGTGGAGGCAGTGGTGGCGGTGGTGGAGGTGGTCTTGATGGTGGTGGAGGAGGTGGTGAAGGTAGTGGCGGTGGTGGTGGAGATTGTGGCGGTGGCGGGGGTGGTGGAGTTGGAGGAGGTGGTGGTAGTGGTGGTGGTGGAGGCAGTGGTGGCGGTGCAGGGGGTGGTGGCGGTGGTGGTGGTAGCGATGGTGGTGGTAGCAGCGGCGGTGGTGGTGGAGGTAGCGGCGGTGGTGGTGGAGGTAGCGGCGGTGGTGGTGGTGGAGGTAGCGGCGGTGGTGGTGGAGGTAGCGGCGGTGGTGGTGGTGGAGGTAGCGGCGGTGGTGGTGGTGGAGGTAGCGGCGGTGGTGGTGGTGGAGGTAGCGGCGGTGGTGGTGGTGGAGGTAGCGGCGGTGGTGGTGGTGGTGGTGGAGGTAGCGGCGGTGGTGGTGGTGGTGGAGGTAGCGGCGGTGGTGGTGGTGGAGGTAGCGGCGGTGGTGGTGGTGGAGGTAGCGGCGGTGGTGGTGGTGGTGGAGGTAGCGGCGGTGGTGGTGGTGGTGGAGGTAGCGGCGGTGGTGGTGGAGGTAGCGGTGGTGGTGGTGGAGGTAGCGGTGGTGGTGGTGGTGGTGGAGGTAGCGGCGGTGGTGGTGGTGGAGGTAGCGGCGGTGGTGGTGGTGGTGGAGGTAGCGGCGGTGGTGGTGGAGGTAGCGGTGGTGGTGGTGGTGGAGGTAGCGGCGGTGGTGGTGGTGGTGGAGGTAGCGGCGGCGGTGGTGGTGGAGGTAGCAGCGGTGGTGGTGGTGGTGGAGGTAGCGGCGGTGGTGGTGGTGGAGGTAGCGGCGGTGGTGGTGGTGGAGGTAGCGGCGGTGGTGGTGGTGGAGGTAGCGGCGGTGGTGGTGGTGGTGGAGGTAGCGGCGGCGGTGGTGGTGGTGGTGGAGGTAGCGGCGGTGGTGGTGGTGGTGGAGGTAGTGGCGGTGGTGGTGGTGGAGGTAGCGGCGGTGGTGGTGGTGGAGGTAGCGGCGGTGGTGGTGGTGGAGGTAGTGGCGGTGGTGGTGGTGGTGGAGGTAGCGGCGGCGGTGGTGGTGGTGGAGGTAGCGGCGGTGGTGGTGGAGGTAGCGGCGGTGGTGGTGGTGGTGGAGGTAGCGGCGGTGGTGGTGGTGGTGGAGGTAGCGGCGGTGGTGGTGGTGGTGGAGGTAGCGGCGGTGGTGGTGGTGGTGGAGGTAGCGGCGGTGGTGGTGGTGGTGGAGGTAGCGGCGGTGGTGGTGGTGGTGGAGGTAGCGGCGGTGGTGGTGGTGGTGGAGGTAGCGGCGGTGGTGGTGGTGGTGGAGGCAGCGGTGGTGGTGGTGGTGGTGGAGGTAGCGGCGGTGGTGGTGGTGGAGGTAGCGGCGGTGGTGGTGGTGGTGGAGGTAGCGGCGGTGGTGGTGGTGGTGGAGGTAGCGGCGGTGGTGGTGGTGGTGGAGGTAGCGGCGGTGGTGGTGGTGGTGGAGGTAGCGGTGGTGGTGGTGGTGGAGGTAGCGGCGGTGGTGGTGGTGGTGGAGGTAGCGGCGTGGTGGTGGTGGTGGAGGTAGCGGGGTGGTAGCGGTGGTGTGTGTGGAGGTAGCGGCGGTGGTGGTGGTGGTGGAGGTAGCGGTGGTGGTGGTGGTGGAGGTAGCGGTGGTGGTGGAGGTAGCGGTGGTGGTGGTGGTGGAGGTAGCGGCGGTGGTGGTGGTGGAGGTAGCGGTGGTGGTGGTGGTGGAGGTAGCGGCGGTGGTGGTGGTGGAGGTAGCGGTGGTGGTGGTGGAGGTAGCGGTGGTGGTGGAGGTAGCGGTGGTGGTGGTGGTGGTGGTGGTGGAGGTAGTGGTGGTGGTGGTGGTGGAGGTAGCGGTGGTGGTGGAGGTGGTGGTGGTGGAGGTGGTGGTGGAGGTAGCGGCGGTGGTGGTGGAGGTAGTGGCGGTGGTGGTGGTGGAGGTAGCGGCGGTGGTGGTGGAGGTAGCGGCAGTGGTGGTGGAGGTAGCGGTGGTGGTGGTGGAGGTAGCGGCGGTGGTGGTGGAGGTAGCGGCAGTGGTGGTGGAGGTAGCGGTGGTGGTGGTGGAGGTAGCGGTGGTGGTGGTGGTGGAGGTAGCGGTGGTGGTGGTGGTGGAGGTAGTGGCGGTGGTGGTGGTGGAGGTAGTGGCGGTGGTGGTGGTGGTGGTGGTGGTGGTGGAGGTAGTGGCGGTGGTGGTGGTGGTGGTGGAGGTAGCGGCGGTGGTGGTGGTGGTGGAGGTAGCGGTGGTGGTGGTGGAGGTAGTGGCGGTGGTGGTGGTGGTGGAGGTAGCGGCGGGGGTGGTGGTGGTGGAGGTAGCGGCGGTGGTGGTGGTGGTGGAGGTAGCGGCGGTGGTGGTGGTGGAGGTAGCGGTGGTGGTGGTGGTGGAGGTAGCGGCGGTGGTGGTGGTGGAGGTAGCGGTGGTGGTGGTGGAGGTAGCGGTGGTGGTGGTGGAGGTAGCGGTGGTGGTGGTGGAGGTAGCGGTGGTGGTGGTGGAGGTAGCGGCGGTGGTGGTGGTGGTGGAGGTAGCGGCGGTGGTGGTGGTGGAGGTAGCGGTGGTGGTGGTGGTGGTGGAGGTAGCGGTGGTGGTGGTGGAGGTAGCGGTGGTGGTGGTGGTGGAGGTAGCGGCGGTGGTGGTGGTGGTGGAGGTAGCGGCGGTGGTGGTGGTGGTGGTGGTGGAGGTAGCGGTGGTGGTGGTGGTGGTGGTGGAGGTAGCGGTGGTGGTGGTGGAGGTAGCGGTGGTGGTGGTGGTGGAGGTAGCGGCGGTGGTGGTGGTGGTGGAGGTAGCGGCGGTGGTGGTGGTGGTGGAGGTAGCGGTGGTGGTGGTGGAGGTAGCGGCGGCGGTGGTGGTGGTGGAGGTAGCGGTGGTGGTGGTGGTGGAGGTAGCGGTGGTGGTGGTGGTGGAGGTAGCGGTGGTGGTGGTGGAGGTAGCGGCGGTGGTGGTGGAGGTAGCGGCGGTGGTGGTGGTGGTGGAGGTAGCGGCGGTGGTGGTGGAGGTAGTGGCGGTGGTGGTGGTGGAGGTAGCGGCGGTGGTGGTGGAGGTAGCGGCAGTGGTGGTGGAGGTAGCGGTGGTGGTGGTGGAGGTAGCGGCGGTGGTGGTGGAGGTAGCGGCAGTGGTGGTGGAGGTAGCGGTGGTGGTGGTGGAGGTAGCGGTGGTGGTGGTGGTGGAGGTAGCGGTGGTGGTGGTGGTGGAGGTAGTGGCGGTGGTGGTGGTGGAGGTAGTGGCGGTGGTGGTGGTGGTGGTGGTGGAGGTAGTGGCGGTGGTGGTGGTGGTGGTGGTGGAGGTAGCAGCGGTGGTGGTGGTGGTGGAGGTAGCGGTGGTGGTGGTGGAGGTAGTGGCGGTGGTGGTGGTGGTGGAGGTAGCGGTGGTGGTGGTGGTGGAGGTAGCGGTGGTGGTGGTGGAGGTAGCGGTGGTGGTGGTGGTGGTGGTGGAGGTAGTGGTGGTGGTGGTGGTGGTGGTGGAGGTAGCGGCGGTGGTGGTGGTGGTGGTGGTGGAGGTAGCGGTGGTGGTGGTGGTGGAGGTAGCGGTGGTGGTGGTGGTGGAGGTAGCGGTGGTGGTGGTGGAGGTAGTGGCGGTGGTGGTGGTGGTGGAGGTAGCGGTGGTGGTGGTGGAGGTAGCGGTGGTGGTGGTGGAGGTAGCGGTGGTGGTGGTGGTGGAGGTAGTGGTGGTGGTGGTGGTGGTGGAGGTAGTGGTGGTGGTGGTGGTGGTGGAGGTAGCGGTGGTGGTGGAGGTGGTGGTGGTGGAGGTGGTGGTGGAGGTAGCGGCGGTGGTGGTGGAGGTAGTGGCGGTGGTGGTGGTGGAGGTAGCGGCGGTGGTGGTGGAGGTAGCGGCAGTGGTGGTGGAGGTAGCGGTGGTGGTGGTGGAGGTAGCGGCGGTGGTGGTGGAGGTAGCGGCAGTGGTGGTGGAGGTAGCGGTGGTGGTGGTGGAGGTAGCGGTGGTGGTGGTGGTGGAGGTAGCGGTGGTGGTGGTGGTGGAGGTAGTGGCGGTGGTGGTGGTGGAGGTAGTGGCGGTGGTGGTGGTGGTGGTGGTGGTGGAGGTAGTGGCGGTGGTGGTGGTGGTGGTGGAGGTAGCGGCGGTGGTGGTGGTGGTGGAGGTAGCGGTGGTGGTGGTGGAGGTAGTGGCGGTGGTGGTGGTGGTGGAGGTAGCGGTGGTGGTGGTGGTGGAGGTAGCGGTGGTGGTGGTGGAGGTAGCGGTGGTGGTGGTGGTGGTGGTGGAGGTAGTGGTGGTGGTGGTGGTGGAGGTAGCGGCGGTGGTGGTGGTGGTGGTGGTGGAGGTAGCGGTGGTGGTGGTGGTGGAGGTAGCGGTGGTGGTGGTGGTGGAGGTAGCGGTGGTGGTGGTGGAGGTAGTGGCGGTGGTGGTGGTGGTGGTGGAGGTAGCGGTGGTGGTGGTGGTGGAGGTAGCGGTGGTGGTGGTGGAGGTAGCGGTGGTGGTGGTGGTGGTGGTGGTGGAGGTAGTGGTGGTGGTGGTGGTGGAGGTAGTGGTGGTGGTGGTGGTGGAGGTAGCGGTGGTGGTGGAGGTGGTGGTGGTGGAGGTGGTGGTGGAGGTAGCGGCGGTGGTGGTGGTGGTGGTGGTGGTGGAGGTAGCGGTGGTGGTGGTGGTGGTGGAGGTAGCGGCGTACCGTACTGGCGCAGGTCGACGCACACCGGGGGGGTGGATGAGTTGGGGGCTGCGGTGAGCGCCGCGTGGCACGACGAGCGAATGTTGAGGGTGAGGAAGACCGGCAGAGCGGCGAGCCCCAGAACGCCGAGCCAGAGCAGAGTGAGCAGGTAGGTGAGCCCTATAAACTACACCGTCACCAACAACACCGTCACCAACAACACCGTTACCATCAACACCGTCACCAACAACACCGTTACCATCACGTAGGTGAGCCCTATAAACTACACCGTCACCAACAACACCGTCACCATCAACACCGTCACCAACAACACCGTTACCATCAACACCGTCACCATCATGTAGGTGAGCCCTATAAACTACACCGTCACCAACAACACCGTCACCATCATGTAGGTGAGCCCTATAAACTACACCGTCACCATCAACACCGTCACCATCACGTAGGTGAGCCCTATAAACTACACCGTCACCAACAACACCGTCACCATCATGTAGGTGAGCCCTATAAACTACACCGTCACCAACAACACCGTCACCATCAACACCGTCACCAACAACACCGTTACCATCAACACCGTCACCATCATGTAGGTGAGCCCTATAAACTACACCGTCACCAACAACACCGTCACCAACAACACCATCACCATCATGTAGGTGAGCCCTATAAACTACACCGTCACCAACAACACCGTCACCATCATGTAGGTGAGCCCTATAAACTACACCGTCACCACCAACACCGTCACCATCACGTAGGTGAGCCCTATAAACTACACCGTCACCAACAACACCGTCACCATCATGTAGGTGAGCCCTATAAACTACACCGTCACCAACAACACCGTCACCATCAACACCGTCACCAACAACACCGTTACCATCAACACCGTCACCATCATGTAGGTGAGCCCTATAAACTACACCGTCACCAACAACACCGTCACCATCATGTAGGTGAGCCCTATAAACTACACCGTCACCATCAACACCGTCACCATCACGTAGGTGAGCCCTATAAACTACACCGTCACCAACAACACCGTCACCATCATGTAGGTGAGCCCTATAAACTACACCGTCACCAACAACACCGTCACCACCATGTAGGTGAGCCCTATAAACTACACCGTCACCAACAACACCATCACCATCACGTAGGTGAGCCCTATAAACTACACCGTCACCAACAACACCATCACCATCACGTAGGTGAGCCCTATAAACTACACCACCAACACCGTCACCAACAACACCGTCACCAACAACACCGTTACCAACAACACCGTCACCATCAACACCGTCACCAACACAATCACCAACACCGTCACCATCAACACCGTCACCAACAACACTATCACCAACACAATCACCAACACCATCACCAACAACACCGTCACCAACACGTAGGTGAGTCCTATAAACTACACCGTTACTAACAACACCGTCACCAACACAATCACCAACACCGTCACCACCAACACCGTCACCAACAACACCATCACCATCACGTAGATGAGCCCTATAAACTACACCATCACCAACAACATCACCACCAACACCGTCACCACCAACATCGTCACCACCATCACCATCAACACCGTCACCACCATCACGTAGCTGAGCCCTATCAACTACACCAGCACCAACACCGTCACCACCAACAGCGTCAACACCAACACCGTCACCATCACCACCGTCACCACCAACATCGTCACCACCAACACCGTCACCACCAACACCATCATCATCACCATCACCAACACCGTCACCACCAACACCGTCACCACCAACACCGTCACCGTTACCACCATCACGTAGCTGAGCCCTATAAACTACACCATCACCAACAACATCACCAACAACATCACCAACACCATTCCGTAGATGAGCCCTATAAACTACACCACCAACACCGTCACCATCAACACCGTCACCACCAACACCGTCACCACCAACACCATCATTATCACCATCACCAACACCGTCACCACCAACACCGTCACCACCATCACCATCATCATCACCATCACCAACACCGTCACCACCATCACCGTTACCACCATCACGTAGCTGAGCCCTATCAACTACACCATCACCAACAACATCACCAACAACATCACCAACACCATTCCGTAGATGAGCCCTATAAACTACACCACCAACACCGTCACCACCAACACCATCATCATCACCATCACCAACACCGTCACCACCAACACCGTCACCACCATCACTATCATCATCACCATCACCAACACCGTCACCACCATCACCATCACCGTTACCACCATCACGTAGCTGAGCCCTATCAACTACACCGACACCAGCAGCCATTGTCAGGATGGGGATTGAACCCAGGTGCTCGTGCGTGCCAGGCGAGGTGCTAGGACGGTGATTGCCACTGCGTCTATCCCTCAATGTACCAACATCGGAAACGGCATTCCCAATGAATTAAATACAAAACAAGAGGGATGCTTTTTCAGAAAGTTATTCCAACTTTACTCCTTACCTGGAAATATAATTCAACTATATGGCTTTTCACAAAAAGAATAGCGACGTAATATTTAAACTATTAAATAATAATTCAGATTTATTTAAATCAAGAATCATTAACCTTCTGTAGTGAAACTCGCCACAAGATATCGCGGCACTTTGTAGCGACGGGATTAGGCGATGCGGAGGCGCTGCCACTGTAGGGACACCGTGACGCCGTCTCAGATCAGAATCTCGAGTATTTAAGACTGCAAGAGGAGGAATCTGAAGAGCTACGAAGCTCTTTGTCACGGATGTGCAGTAGCGGATGGACGGCACAGGGCCTCTAGTTTGATGATCCCGTTGTGCGTGCCAGAGTGAAATTTCGCTTACGGGGAAATTCGATGTCGGTTGCGTGAATGCGACATTCTGTAAACGGCACGTTGGTAAATCGATTTATACCTGAATAGTAAATAAAACGTAAAAAAAAAGGTGATTCATCGCATTTGCTCGTAATTGCTCGCAGATGCTCGCAACCGCTGGCGATTGCTCGTGGTCGCTCATGGTCGCTAGGCGCGCTCGCTCCTCACCATGGCGCTGATGCAGCGTCCACAGGCGGTGGTCTTGAAGTCTCCATGCCGGCCCTGCACGGCGCCGGTCGTGAAGAAGCCCTCGGTGAAGAGGAGAATTCCCAGGAGCAGGAACGCAGCCACCGTGCCGTACATGGAGAAGCGCACCACGTCCACCCTGCAGACAGAGACATGCGGACAGAGACACGGAGACATGGAGACAGACAGAGACATGGAGACAGATAGTGCACCACGTCCACCCTGCAGACAGAGACATGGGGACAGAGACACGGAGACAGAGACATGGAGACAGATAGTGCACCACGTCCACCCTGCAGACAGAGACATGGAGACAGAGACACGGAGACATGGAGACAGAGACATGGGGACAGATAGTGCACCACGTCCACCCTGCAGACAGAGACATGGAGACAGAGACACGGAGACAGAGAGACAGAGACATGGAGACAGATAGTGCACCACGTCCACCCTGCAGACAGAGACATGGGGACAGAGACACGGAGACAGAGAGACAGAGACATGGAGACAGATAGTGCACCACGTCCACCCTGCAGACAGAGACATGGGGACAGAGACACGGAGACAGAGATACAGAGACATGGAGACAGATAGTGCACCACGTCCATCCTGCAGACAGAGACATGGAGACAGAGACACGGAGACATGGAGACAGAGACATGGGGACAGATAGTGCACCACGTCCACCCTGCAGACAGAGACATGGAGACAGAGACACGGAGACATGGAGACAGAGACATGGGGACAGATAGTGCACCACGTCCACCCTGCAGACAGAGACATGGAGACAGAGAGACAGAGAGATGGAGACAGAGAGACATGGAGACAGAGAGACAGCACACCACGTCCACCACAGACAGAGACAGACAGAGACATGGAGACAGAGAGACAGAGACACGAAGACAGAGAGACAGAGAGACGGAGACATGGAGACAGAGAGACAGAGACATGGAGACAGAGAGACAGAGAAACAGAGACATGGAGACAGAGAGACAGCACACCACGTCCACCCTGCAGACAGAGACAGACAGAGACATGGAGACAGACAGAGATATGGAGACAGAGAGACAGAGACATGGAGACAGAGAGACATGGAGACAGAGAGACAGCACACCACATCCACCACAGACAGAGACAAACAGAGACATAGAGACAGAGACACGGAGACAGAGAGACAGACAGAGACATGGAGACAGAGAGACAGAGACATGGAGACAGAGAGACAGAGAAACAGAGACATGGAGACAGAGAGACAGCACACCACGTCCACCCTGCAGACAGAGACAGACAGAGACATGGAGACAGAGAGACAGAGACATGGAGACAGAGACATGGAGACAGAGAGACAGCACACCACGTCCACCACAGACAGAGACAAACAGAGACATGGAGACAGAGAGACAGAGACATGGAGACAGAGACATGGAGACAGAGAGACATGGAGACAGAGAGACATGGATACAGAGAGACAGCACACCACGTCCACCACAGACAGAGACAAACAGAGACATGGAGACAGAGAGACAGAGACATGGAGACAGAGACATGGAGACAGAGAAACATGGAGACAGAGAGACAGCACACCACGTCCACCACAGACAGAGACAAACAGAGACATGGAGACAGAGAGACAGAGAGACATGGAGACAGAGAGACAGAGAGACTGGAGACAGAGAGACAGAGACATGGAGACAGAGAGACAGAGAAACAGAGACATGGAGACAGAGAGACAGAGACACGGAGACAGAGAGACAGAGAGACAGAGACATGGAGACAGAGAGACAGAGAGACATGGAGACAGCACACCACGTCCACCCTGCAGACAGAGACAGACAGAGACATGGAGACAGAGAGACAGAGACATGGAGACAGAGAGACAGAGAAACAGAGACATGGAGACAGAGAGACAGCACACCACGTCCACCCTGCAGACAGACAGAGACATGGAGACAGAGAGACAGAGAAACAGAGACATGGAGACAGAGAGACAGAGAAACAGAGACATGGAGACAGACAGGCAGAGACATGGAGACAGAGAGACAGAGAGACATGGAGATCCGCACCATGTTCACCCTGCAGACAGACAAGGGGACAGTGGGAGACAGAGATAGTGAGAGAGACAGAGACACAGGTAAGGCAACAGTGAGCTGTGTAGCTCTGAGAGAAGTCACCTGGGCTACCACAAATGAAAGCTCAACCAAGTGGATGAATCTTGATTTGAAGCTTTCGTGACTGCAGGAATCCATAACTCTTTGGTTCTTTCGGTAAAGTCATCACGAAGTAGGTAGAAATCAAGTAAATCACGACGTTTCGGGCGCAACACAAGCGTCCGTCATCCGGTGGGAAATGGGTGTAGCCCAAGGGTCATAAATAAGTGGCCGGGGCTAGTGATGTTAATGTGAGAGATTAGCGTGATGTTAATGTGAGAGATTAGCGTGATGTTAATGTGAGAGATTAGCGTGATGTTAATGTGAGAGATTAGCATGTCACTGTAAGATAGGGAAGCGGCCTCCTTGACGAGGGCACGGAAGTTGCGATGTTAATGTGAGAGATTAGAGGGCATGGAAGTGGCTATGTTAATGTGAGAGATTAGCGTGGTGTTAATGTGAGAGATTAGAGGGCATGGAAGTGGCTGTTAATGTGAGAGATTAGCGTGATGTTAATGTGAGAGATTAGAGGGCATGGAAGTGGCTATGTTAATGTGAGAGATTAGAGGGCATGGAAGTGGCTATGTTAATGTGAGAGATTAGCATGATGTTAATGTGAGAGATTAGAGGGCATGGAAGTGGCTATGTTAATGTAAGAGATTAGCATGATGTTAATGTGAGAGATTAGAGGGCATGGAAGTGGCTATGTTAATGTGAGAGATTAGCGTGATGTTAATGTGAGAGCTTAGAGGGCATGGAAGTGGCTATGTTAATGTGAGAGATTAGCATGATGTTAATGAGAGATTAGAGGGCATGGAAGTGGCTATGTTAATGTGAGAGATTAGAGGGCATGGAAGTGGCTATGTTAATGTGAGAGATTAGCGTGATGTTAATGTGAGAGCTTAGAGGGCATGCAAGTGGCTATGTTAATGTAAGAGATTAGCGTGATGTTAATGTGAGAGCTTAGAGGGCATGGAAGTGGCTATGTTAATGTAAGAGATTAGCATGATGTTAATGTGAGACATTAGAGGGCATGGAAGTGGCTATGTTAATGTGAGAGATTAACTCACTAGCTAGGTGGTGCTGGTTGGAGATGCAACGGGCCCTAGAAGAATTCCCTCATCAAAACACGACACCATAGGGCTTGTTGCATCTCCGAGTTGGAGCACATACACCAAGCCCTCAGTATGAATGGATACTCGGACCGTACAACCCGCAAAGCTGCCTCCCCATCCATGGGGAGACAATCTTCTGAGGATCCAGCCACAAGCATCACTTTGCCATACATAGCAGGGGTTACCAAAAAGATTTCCAAAATCTTAAACACAGGATCCAGGTTCGTTTCAACACAGTACACAAAATCCGTAATTTAATCCCATCTGTAAAGGATGTGATTCCTGACATGCAATACCCTGGTGTCTACAAACTGAGTTGTGGTTGTGGCAGCAGTTACATTGGGGAAATGACACAACATGTTTCGGACCGCGTTCGTGAACACAAGGCGGATCTGAAACACGGTAGGACCAATACCTCTGCCGTTACTGATCATTGTTTTAATGCTGTGGGCTCACACGAAATTGATTTTTCCAAGACGGAGGTACTCTGCAAACCTATCGGCTACCTTCAGAGATTTGTTCATGAAGCCATCCAGATATATAAACACAGACACAGCTTCAACTGAGAAAATGGGTACAAACTGAGCAATCATTGGAAGGACGTTATTAACCAGGTACAGTCTTAACTGTCATGTTTCCATCCTACCTGCTATGTCAGCTGTTATTTGTGACTCTCTGTGTGTCTCTCTCTCTCTCTCTATGCCTCTCTCTTAGATCTCTCAAGCTCACATGTCCTTTGGATTACACTCTCATGTTCACATGTCCCTTGGATTACACTCTCATGCTCACATGTCCTTTGGATTACACTCTCATGCTCACGTGTCACTAGGATTGCACTCTCATACTCACATGTCCTTTGGATTACACTCTCATGCTCACATGTCCCTTGGATTACACTCTCATGTTCACATGTCACTAGGATTACACTCTCATGCTCACATGTCACTAGGATCACACTCTCATGCTCACATGTCCTTTGGATTGCACCCGTTGGGTTGCACTTCCTCGTCGAGGAGGCCGCTCTCCTATCTTACAGTGACACATTAACATCATGCTAATTAACATCACGCTAATCTCTCACATTAACATCATGCTAATTAACATCGCGCTAATCTCTCGCATTAACATCACTAGCCCCGGCCACTTCTTTATGACCCTTGGGCTACACCCATTTCAAACCTCGTCAAAACAGTCTGCCTCAGCAGCAGCAGCAGCAGGAGACCACGCTTTCCCACCTGATGACGGACGCTTGTTGTGTTGCGCCAGAAACGTCGCGATTAATTTTATTTTATACCCACGTGATGACTTTACCGAAAGAACCAAATGGATGACATCATCGCCATCGTCGTCGTGTGGACATTTGAAGCAGCCCATGAGGCTCTTTGTCACAGATATCCTGTGGTGGCAACGACGATGACGAGGTGGAGGTGACTTGAGGCTTGGAAGAGGAGGAGGTGGTGGGGGGGGGGTGACGAGAAGGAGGGGGTGACGAGGTGTGACGAGGTGGAGGTGACTGACACTTGGAAGAGGAGGAGGTGGGGGGGGGGGTGACGAGAAGGAGGGGGTGACGAGGTGTGACGAGGTGTGACGAGGTGGAGGTGACTGACACTTGGAAGAGGAGGAGGGGGGGGTGACGAGGTGTGACGAGGTGTGACGAGGTGGAGGTGACTGACACTTGGAAGAGGAGGAGGGGGGGGTGACGAAAAGGAGGGGGTGACGAGGTGTGACGAGGTGTGACGAGGTGGAGGTGACTGACACTTGGAAGAGGAGGAGGAGGGGGGGGGTGACGAGAAGGAGGGGGTGACGAGGTGTGACGAGGTGGAGGTGACTGACACTTGGAAGAGGAGGAGGGGGGGGGGGGGTGACGAGGTGTGACGAGGTGTGACGAGGTGGAGGTGACTGACACTTGGAAGAGCAGCAGGCTGTCGTGGTGTGGGTACAGGAAGTGTTCATCCAGCAGTGCCAGGGCGTTGCCCAGCGCTTCGTGGCCACAGCCGCAGAACAGCGCCACGCCGGCGAAGCAGAGCAGCGTGGCCACCAGCGAGGCGTAGGGCACCCCCCCTAGGCAGCGCACGCAACACTCGGCACAGCCTGGGGGGGAGGGACAGGAGACACGGAGTGGTGAAGCAGAGACACGAACCCCTATCACTATCAGTCTATCATTATCAGTCTACCACTACCACTATCAGTCTATCACTATCAGTCTATCACTACCCCTACCACTATCAGTCTATCACTATCAGTCTGTCAGTCTATCACTATCAGTCTACCACTACCACTATCAGTCTATCACTATCAGTCTACCACTATCACTATCAGTCTATCACTATCAGTCTACCACTATCACTACCCCTATCACTACCCCTATCACTATCACTACCTCTATCACTATCACTACCCCTATCACTATCAGTCTATCACTACCCCTATCACTATCACTACCCCTATCAGTCTATCACTATCAGTCTGTCAGTCTATCACTATCAGTCTACCACTATCAGTCTATCACTATCAGTCTACCACTACCACTATCAGTCTATCACTATCAGTCTATCACTATCAGTCTATCACTATCAGTCTGTCAGTCTATCACTATCAGTCTACCACTATCACTATCAGTCTACCACTATCACTACCCCTATCACTATCAGTCTATCACTACCCCTACCACTACCCCTATCACTACCCCTATCACTAACACTATCCCTACCACTACCCCTACCACTATCACTATCAGTCTATCACTACCCCTACCACTACCCCTATCACTATCAGTCTATCACTATCAGTCTATCACTACCCCTATCACTACCCCTATAATTACCCCTATCACTATCACTACACCTATCACTACCACTATCACTACCCCTATCACTATCACTACCCCTACCACTACCCCTATCACCACCCCTATCACTACCCCTATCACTATCACCACCCCTATCACCACCCCTATCACTACCCCTATCACTATCAGCACCCCTATCAGCACCCCTATCACTACCCTTATCACTATCACTACCCCTATCACTACCACTATCACTACCCCTATCACTATCACTACCCGTATCACTACCACTATCACTACCCCTATCACTACCCCTATCACTACCCCTATCACTACCCCTATCACTATCACTACCCCTATCACTACCCCTTTCACTATCACTACCCCTTTCACTATCACTACCCCTATCACTACCCCAAACCCTCCTTAACCACTCCCGCCAATTATCCTGTCACCATAACTACACCACTATCACTTTTAATAATAATAACCACCCCACTCCTGGTTGTTATCTCAACCACTATCATCTTGTGTACAATTCGTAAAAGTACCTTGGTTTAAGGCGCTGCTGCTGTTATATTTAAATCTGCGTGAGATTTAAGACGTAAAGGGGAGAGAGAGGCGAGATGAGTTTGGGGTCAAGATATGCAAGGAATCAAACATCGACAACACCAACAGAAGCTGTAACATCGCCTCCTGCACGCAGGGGCAGAGTGTGGAGGGATTATTATGACTTCCAGGTACAGGCGTAGAACGTGGATGGAAAGTACTGAAATCAAAGCGAGGAGATGGGGGATGATGGATCGTAATGTGGTATAGTACCTACTGCTTCCAGTAGTAGTAGTAGGTACTACTAGTAGTACACTTTCGACCAATACCAGTAGTAGTAGCTACTGCTACTAGTAGCTACTACTACGAGTAGTGCTCAGTGGGTGTACATTTCGAGGCGGTATTACTGGGAGAGATGTGACAGTGGCTCGTGCAGTGGAACAGAAGCTGCTCAGGACCACTGATGACCTCTCCGAGATCGTGGATGGTGTGCCGCAGCATTGGTTGGCCTCAACCTCTCAGCCCCCTTCGACGCCACTGGACGTGGGATCCCCATCGGGTGGCTCACGGCAAGGTTTGCTGCGTCGGACACGCCACTGGGGCCTACCTCCATGGTCGATCGCGGTTCGTCAAGCCGGGTGACTGCTTGGAGTACCACAGCGGTCCGTCCTCGGGACTTTCCTATTGTCGACGTACGTCTCTTCGATCGCCGGTGTCATCTCATCGCGAGACGTCAAGTGCCATCAATATGCTGATGATACACGATCCTACACCGCAGTGAAGTAAATCCAGGAAAAGCCGAGGTTCTGCTGGTTGGCAATAAAAGTTGTTTAAAAGTCAAAAAGTCTCTCTTCCTCTCTCTCCCTCTCTCCTCCCTTCATCTCTCTCCCTCGCTCCCTCTCTCTCTCCTCTCCCCCTCTCTGTCCCCGCTCTCCATCTCTTCCTGCTCCACATTGCAACAGCTCTGCTCTCATTCCCATGGCTACTGGATTTGTATTCCTCTTAGTCCGGCTCAGATTGAGTCCTCTCTGAGTCTCGCGCCGTTTTTTACGACTGGACATAAGCAATTTTAATTCACCAGGTAAGGCGCACAGAGCTACGTGGCTATTTGTCAGAAGTGACCTGACTATCACAAATGATAGCTCAACGTCGTGGGCTTATCATCGTGTGGGAATTTATAGCAGCAGCAAAATACGCTGAACTTGTGATGTTGATTCTAAATGTGGAGGGGAAAAACCTGAGAATCCAGACAAAAATCCACGCGACCATGGGGAAAGAGAGAGACGCACACTCCCAATATACAACAGGCATCGTCAGGGTTGGGATCAAACCCATGACCTGTAACCAGATGAAGGAGTTCACATCTTGCCAACCCCAAAAAGAGCTGTATAGCTCATCGGATTCTTCATGCCCGATTCTAAATGGGCGATTCTCAACAGTGGGGTTCATAATGGCCGTGTCAGAAACATTAAGCCAGTATCAGAGAAAGCCTCGGTTCAAGCCCTGGGACTTGCGAGCTTCAACATGAAGCCCTTAATCCAGTCGGTGTTGTAGGCCAATGACCACAAAGGCCAATGGGTTCAATGGGTTCACAAAGCTGACTGGGACCACTATAAGGAGGCTGTAAGTGAGAGTGGTGAGTCCAATTCCCACGACACCGGAATGCTATCACTGTTTTGTTGGCCTCCTTACTGCAACCTGCCAAGAAGAGCATCACCCCTAGGCTTCGGGAAAGAATCCACTCCCTGCTGGACAATAGAGACCCAGGAGCTGCTCCGACAGCACAAATAGTCGGGCAGCCCACAGGTTGGAAAGTCCCTGCTCGAATCGATAGACTCAACCAGACGCCAGCGGTGGATTGAGTGCATTCAAGGCCCTGGACTTCACACACTCCAGCTGCCGTGCCTGGGCCCTACCATGGCGTCTTGGTGCTGCTAACCAAAACAGAATACTGGACCGCAAGAGGCCTGCCCAACTCTATAGCCTCCAACATAGTGGAGAAGACAACATTCCTGCCCGACAACAAAACATCAAGCGAGAGATCCATCGCCGATTGCACCATCAGACAATGGCCTCAATTTCTCCACAAGACCCCCACCGCCATCAGCAGCACAGAGGAAGTGAGGAGGGGTCTGGCTGCAGTGTAGGAAGGCAAGGCTGCTGGCCGAGATGGCATCCCCCAAGGATTCCTCCATCACTCAGGCCCTAGGGGACTCCGATGGCTGGCAAACCTCTACACCAAACCCATGAAAACCGGATGCATCCCAAAATCATAGCGGTTGGTTATTGCAATATCCAAAACGAGCAAGCCAACAGACGACCTGGAAAGCTAAAATCCGATATGACGCCTTTGCACGACCCTCCCTATAAACTCCTAGAATGCATCATTATCTGGAGAATCAGCCCTCTCGTCGAGTCAGTGATCGCTGAAGAGCAAGCGGGGTGATTCCGACTTGCACGCAGCTGCTGTGACCAAGGTTTTGGCCTTTACGACCCACATCAAGGCCGGTTTCCAGAAGAAATCCGAGAACGGCGCGGCCTTTGTGGCCTTTGTGGTCATTCGCCTACAACACCCGACTGGATTAAGGGCTTCATGTTGAAGCTCGCAAGGACCATTCCTTGCCTCTAAACAATACACCTGACATGGACGATGCTGAGCAATGGGTGACTGCATTTCTATAATGGGCAAGAAATCCAGCTGACCCCGTATCAACAGCAAAGGATTCCTACAAGGTTCAGTACTCTTGCAAACACTCTTCAATGGCCACACCAGTGACATGCCACCAACTGGATCACGGAAATTTATAAATGCGGACGATCTTGCCTTGGCAACGCAAGCAGCCACTTTCCACAACATCGAATCCACTCTGAACCGAGACTTAAATGCCATGGGGGAATATTTCTCCCATGGGAGCGCCAAACAGACTCTGAAAGTAACCTTTTGCGGCAGCACTGTGCGACATGACCCCACTCCAACCTATCTTGGCATGATGCTGGAACGTACGCTAAACCTTCCAGGACCACCTGAAAAAGGTAGCCGCCAAGACCAAAACAAAGGTCAACCTGGTCCAGAACCCAGCAAGCACAAACTGGGGAACATCATCACCCTAAGTGCTGCCGACATCAACGATGGTCCTTGTGTACTCTGTAGCCGAGTGCTGTGCACCAGTACAGACCAGAAGTAGTCACCACTCGACTTGTTGATGTCCACTGGAAACCTCAAGTCGACCCCAACACACCCTGGGTCTGACCCGTGACCTCCTCGTTTACCTAGCCTGGTACAGCAGTACAACCCATGGCACCTGGGTCTGTCCCGTGACCTCCGCCTCCTGCACCTAGCCTGGTACAGCAGTACACACCATGGCACCTGGGTCTGTCCCGTGACCTCCTGCACCTAGCTTGGCACAGCAGTACAACCCATGGCACCTGGGTCTGTCCCGTGACCTCCTGCACCTAGCCTGGCACAGCAGTACACCCCATGGCACCTGGGTCTGTCCCGTGACCTCCGCCTCCTGCACCTAGCCTGGTACAGCAGTACAACCCATGGCACATGGGTCTGTCCCGTGACCTCCTGCACCTAGCCTGGCACAGCAGTACACCCCATGGCACCTGGGTCTGTCCCGTGACCTCCGCCTCCTGCACCTAGCCTGGTACAGCAGTACAACCCATGGCACCTGGGTCTGTCCCGTGACCTCCTGCACCTAGCCTGGCACAGCAGTACAACCCATGGCACCTGGGTCTGTCCCGTGACCTC